AGGGGTGCAGAGGGGCGCAGGGGGGGGGCGGAGGGTCTCAGGAGGGGTGCAGAGGGTCTCAGGAGGGGTGCAGAGGGTCTCAGGAGGGGTGCGGATGGTCTCAGGTGGGGTGCGGAGGGGCTCAGGAGGGGTGCGGAAGGTCTCAGGAAGTGTGCGGAAGTCATATACAATCACAAGAAATTCTAGTGATAGTATATGACTGAGCAATCATAGTTACATAGTTACATAGTATTTGAGGTTGAATAAAGACATTAGTCCATCAAGTCCAACCTATTAGGATCTCATTCTAGGAGTACCCGTACCCCTTTATATTACAAAGCGTTTGTGTGGTACCGTAAATGATTAAAATAATCATTTATTTTAAATGACAATACAATCAGCAATGTAAGGCATAGTAACTTGCATTCTCATATAAAATAAATGATTGCCCAGCCTCATTGGCAACATAAAATCATCAGCAAGCATGCAGAGCCAATTCCAGTCACTATAAGAGACGCATAAAGTAAAACAGAACTTAGTAGCTCTGCTGAAGAGCGTTTTTCACAGATTTATGGCAGGCTTCCAGTTCTGTCAGTGACATGTGCTCCATCTCTCCTTGGCTCGGCTCCCACTCTACCATCACAGCTGAAGACATCACTCCGCCACTGCGCGGTGGATGGGCGGAGTAATCTGAGAGGAGGCAAAGGCAGCTCAGGCGGGCACAGTTGCTTGCAGCAGCTTGGAAAAGCTGTGCACGACCACACATAACTAATTGAAAGCTGTGGGCCCTAGATGTGACAGTGGGCCCTGGGCAGTTGCCCACTTTGCCCATTGAATAAAGCGTCTCTGCCCGATGTGGCAGCTTTAATTGATAAGTGCACTCTAGTCTTACATTAGCAAAAAAACATACTTTAGCAAAAAGCCGCGTAGATAAATATGACACACTGACTTTAAATTTTTTTTAAAATTATTTAGTACAGGCATGATAAATCATTATGCTGCATTTTAACTTGTTATAAATAAATGCAAGTCTTACCTGTCTCATCAGGGGTCACTGGAGAAGCGCTGTCCTGGGATAATGTAGTCCAGCTGGAATCCTCATCACTGGGAGCTAGGTTCTGTATACGATGCAGGGCACAGTCCGTCTTTGCCCCAGTTTTTGGATGATCCTTTTTAGTCTCTGGGCTGGATGATACTGTTGGGACCAGGCTGTCCTCGGGACTTGGAGTCTTGCTGTCTTTTGGCAGCAGCACATCTCCATTGCTAATAATGCCAGAACCTTGGCTGGTGATCCATGTGGAATTGTCCTCTTCTTTCACTGCATGGCCATTAGTTAGACTCTGATCAAGGTCTCTGGATGTTTCCAGATCAGAATAGTAGTTAAGAAAACTCTTGGTCCTTCTGGGAAGCAAAGGGAGGATTTCAGAGCTTTCTGGGTCATTAGGATGTTCATCTTTACCTTCAAGCTTTTCTGAAATCCTGTTTACACCATCCTCTAAAGTTACATTCTTATTGGGATCTTGTTCAGCAGCCTTTCTCAGTTGGTTTTCCCCATTCTTTACTAGCTTGATATTTGAAGAGCCATTAGACAAAAGGGGCTGGGCTGCAGGGTCAGACAAACCCATGGCGGTCTGAATATTAGTCAGCGCATATTTTTTTCGGCATTTTGGAGGAGTGTCACTCTTTGATTCGGTATGTTTTACATCTGTATTCAGTAGTTCATTGTGGGAAGAGCGCAAGTTCAAGGTGTTCGGAGGGTTAACTGGGCTGTTTCTGTTCACTATGTCCGTTGCGCTGTGACTTGCCATAAATACCGGAAGTGTTTCCACACTTGTATCGACTACAAGAAATATTGAGGGATATTTTGTCAGTCACACTTTCAAAGTTGCATACAGCTAAGATTCTTAACAGTAATGGTCTATACATTTGTGTATCATTCAGTTACATGATTATCATCCATAACTGTACACTAAAGAGCACAGACCAATGTTTTGCAGAAATAAATGGCAAATACCTCAAATGCAATAGTGTAAAGTAGCCAGAGTAATACAATCTGAGTTCAGATTGGTACAGCACACCAATGGCCTTCCCAGTATCCCTTGTTTATTGTGATTGATGTAAAATGTTCTTGTTGCCCACCGTACAAGTGGGCTTTCTCCAATAATGATTCTACAGTACGGAAGAAGTAATAGCTTATTATATTTTATGGCATGGCTCGTATGTGATAGTTTACATAGGGCCTCAGTGCCTTCTAAAGGGCAGATATAAGATAACTATTGGGTCATTGGACTGCTTAAAAGCAATAAAATGTATTCCCCATGTCTCCCACAAACTCAAAAATCATCACTAAGATACAGAAGGCCTGATTTCTGAACATATATGTAAAGTTCCATGGCAGTGTAAATTACTATTAAGAGATCTCTTAGTCCAGCATGGACATGGGGAATACAGGTATCACATGCATGGACTCCTACAGTTATATAAATACATTAGGGGAATACAGGTATCACATGCATGGACTCCTACAGTTATATAAATACATTAGGGGAATACAGGTATCACATGCATGGACTCCTACAGTTATATAAATACATTAGGGGAATACAGGTATCACATGCATGGACTCCTAGAGGTGTATAAATACATTAAGAGAGTGGTGGTAATACATGTATGGACTCCTACAGGTATATGCTGTAAATGCATTAAGGGGATAGGTTATCACACTTGGCATTTGTTTTGTGTTAACTGTGTTCATAAAGAAAATATCAGACACTTCTATCAAAACAACTACATTATGTGGTACGATTTGAGAAATTGACATGGCACTTTTAAATCTCATTCATTGCAGTGCTAAACTGAAACCACAGGTTGAAAGTCCAAACTGTTTTATAGAAGGCATGATTGTGTAAATGTGGAAAATGTCAGTTCAACATAAGACAAATAAACAATTTTCCGTTGCCGTCAAATGTGGAGAGTACCACTGCAATAGGTATAAAGCACAAAATCTAAAAGAACTGTGCTATGCTACAAAATTTATTCTGCAAAGCGGAACTAAAAATCAGATATGGTCTACCTGCATCAAGATTTCCAAAATAGAAATTAAAAGTCGGAATTATGACATTAAAATACTTTTTTTTTTTTTTGCATGAAATCCTAATTTGGAAATGTTCTTTCCAAATCACAAAGACAAGGAAAAGAAAGTTCCAACTGATACAACTATTGAAAATATGTAGAAATGTAAATGTGGACAGGGAAGGAATAAATAAATAAATATCTAAATGGTCTAAACAGAGATACAGTGGCAAATTCACATATGAACATGCGTTCACTCTCCACAGCAAATAATGAACAGGATTAAAAATGAGAATTTTCTTATTACATATTGGATGATTAGAGTTACCCATCTTAAAGGAGAACTATGAGGCAAGTGAAAATCACTCAGCCTCATAGTTCGAGCAGACGTGTGACAATGAAACTGTCACACGCCGGCTCAATAGATCGTGAAGTGAGCGAACACATACCGTCGCTCGCTCACTTCTCGATCCTGTGCCTGCAGAGCTGTGGCTGTCACTCATGGCTCCCTGCAGGGATTCCCCCCACCCCTGTCCGCTCCTCCAGGGCTGACAGGCGGAACGGACAGGGGAGGGGGCGGGTACAGCTGGCTCTGCCTCTAGATAGGCAGAGCCAGCTGTCACTCATGCAGCTGCGTGGATCCAGACAGTATTGTCGGAATCCGTTCCGGTTGCGGCTTTGGGTGACGGGAGGACGCTAGTTTGTGTCCTCCCGTTACCCTTAGGAGAACTATTGGGAAATGCACTGACCACATAGTTCTCCTTTAACTGTCCTAATCAAAAATGTTCTTCTTCAGTACATTTTCCTCAATAATAAAGCTCTGTTATGAATGGTTATGAGGTACAAAAAACTTAATCTCAGAAACTTTTTTTCAATAATGAATCCAGATCAAACAAATATACATTGTCCAGAAAAGTATTTCTTAATATTTTTGCCCAAGCACTTACAGTCATCATGTTTAAGAACAGCTGGCTTCAATTCTCTTTGCTCACCGTCTCTGAACCTCCTGTCGAGTACAAGGTCACGAAGGACAGAACAGTCTCCAGCAGTTGCTCATCTACTAGCTTAAAGAAGGGAGGAAGGAGGAACAGAGAGCAAAGGAGTGTCTTACCCTGCTGTGCCTGTGTTTTTGGAGACAATGTTCAAAAATGTCACCAGCACACCAAAGGTAAAGTGAAATCAATCCATTTAATGACACAGCATTGTCATCAAGGTGCAAGCGCTTTCAGGGCCGCTCAGGGTCCCCTTCATCAGGCCACCTTTTTTGGGAATACAACACACAGTGGTGTGTTGCGGCGTGCTACAGCATGAGTACATTTTCTTAGTTCATTGGGCTGTGACACACTTTAACATTTTTATATATATCCTGGGGACTCAGATGATGAGATCTTAGTGATTTTGTTCTCAGATCTGAATATCTACAACAACCATTTTGATGGGATCCCACTCTCCCTGTTGGCTTTTAATTTTTTTTTTATATTATTGAAAATGTAACAGGATTTTTGGAAACACTCAAAGCTCCAAGATGCACAGGAACAGAGCTGGAAACGAAGATAGGGAGATCTGATGTCTCTAACACACATAAAAAGTTCTTGATTCAGCCCACAATGCTTTTTCTATAACTTAGGCATGGCTGACGGAGGGACTGGGCTTTAAGTGGGCTGATAAATGCTAGGTGTATTCAGTGTTAATTTTTTCCTGGTGTAAATGTAATGGTTGTGAAATTTGAGCACAAGACTGTGTTTAATGCATTAATATCTCACTCTTCAATGCCTTTATTTTATAGATCAGCTATTCTAAGGGTTTCACAATAATATTTTCATTTTGACCCCTCCTGCAAATCTATCTGACAGAGGAATTCATTGGGAACACCTCATAACTGAAGCAAAGGAACTAACAGGAATTGTGAAACAGGAAGTACATAGCATTTAGCTTTAAAAAAATTGTATATAATCTAAATATGTTCACAGAGTGATATTTCTACATAAGCCTCAATACAAACCTTGCATTTTAAATCCTTAATTGTATGTCTCATTTTCTACAAGTGTGGGGATCTAAATAATGATCAAATAAAAACCTCGCATTCAAAATCCCTCATTGTATTTCTCATTTTATACTGGATTCATGATCTAAATAATGACCAAATGATGGAATAAATGAAACAATAAAATGAGGAAACACAAAATAATTTCAGAGTGAGGAACACCAAACAGAACACTGTGAAGGGTCTCTAACCTTGAAGGACTTCAGACATGGGTCACAAGGGCGTCAGCAATGTTGCAGGTTATAGGGTAAGGTTAGCAATCTGAAAAGAGGGATGATTGGAGAAAATTAAAACCAAGGAAGCTACTAGTATGATAAATAAAGTATAAATAAAATAAGAATGAATGTGGCAGAATTTAAACAGAAATCTGGTATGAACTAAATAAACACAAACGCATGATAGAAAATATATATTAAAACAATTGCCATTAAAAAAATTAAAATAAAATGCATAGAACTAAATTGCCCCTCATTTGGAGTGTATGTTCCTGTTATGGAACTAAATCACTTTGTCCATTTTTCCTTCTGCGTTGTCCCTCATTTTGCTTTGATGTATAGACCTCTACTAAATATGAACTGTTTAACTATCAAAAGTGTTCAGTGAATTCATCCTTCCACCCAACCTCTAAATCATTTCATTTGTTACTTTGAAGAGCCAGTGTAAAGAATAAATAGCGGTAACATAGTACTTCTCGGTACCACTTATTTTTTGTGCAATAATTCTTCCTGACCTGCGTAACTGGGGGCATGCCAGGATTGTGTCCATTGCCTACATACTTTGTGCTCTAATATTTCCCTCTTTCTGATTCCAGAAGGTTGGGAGGTATAGAAAATGCATTGAAATACATTTAATAGAATGTGTGTAATCTAGAGCATGCATAACAATCAGTTTTTTAATGTAATCTCTGCTTGGTAGTATAAGGGTGAAAATAACATGTGAAATAGCGTTAAAAGGAGGATCGCTTATCTCATGTGTATTAATTAGAAGTCAAGCTATTTCCAGGGGTTAATTATCTCAGTATTTCCCACTTTACTCAGAAATGGAACAATTAACACTTTAAGCACATTTGCTGCAACTCTTCACTGACACTTGCACAGACATTCTATGTTGTGGCAAAGCAGGGTCACACTTCTGGTCCTAAGCTCACTGCTCCAAGTTGTATATTTTTTTTCCTTGCACCACTATACTGTGTAAATTGGTCCTGGTAGATTTGGATAAATAGGATTCATTTCTTTTTATAGCCTAATGCTGAAATCCTCATCACATTTTCCACACCAAAAACAAGTCAAAATCCTATTGTTTTCCGAAGCATCCCTAACATCTAAATGAGTGTTCATCTTGGTAAACACAAAGGACCTCAAGTGTGGCCCCTGACTTGTCTAGAGTAGATTACGATAGCTTAGTTTATGTACATTCACTATTCAAAGACAAGTTTACTTTATTTACATTGTTCTATTGTTGTGGCTGTACATCTATGTATGGGGCACTCTCGCCTTAAGACTAACCTAACTCTGGAGCTTAAACCTTAATACTTAAAGTGACATTAAACCCTCAGATTTTTTAACATAAAACAATACTGTAATGTGTGCCTTACTGTAATCCATGGTTGTTTCCCTTCTCTTTGCTGCTCTTCCTTTTAAATCCGTATCTCTTCTCATGCTGGGCAGAACTTCTGTTTTGCAGCAGACTGCCTTGTCTCTGAAATGGATACATGGTGTCTGTGTGAAGGTTCACAACCTGAGCCAGCACTACAGGAAGAGGCACTCAGCTGCAAAGGGAAGTTCTCCCCCAGCATGCGAAGAGATACCGATTTAAAAGGAAGAGCAGCAAAGAGAAGGGAAAACAACCATGGATTACAGTAAGGCACACATTACAATATTGGTTTATGTTAAAAAATCTGAGGGTTTAATGTCACTTTAACTTACCCTACTAAGTAACCCAAGTTTTAACTGTAAACTGTAACTGTAACCTCAAGGCTAAGTTCACATCACAGCAACACCCGGGACGCGCTATTGCACATAGCGTTTGCCGCGCTATTGCACATAGCGTTTTCCGCGCAGCCCCTATTGATTTCAATGGGGTGACAATCGCTAAAAAAAGGTCGCCCAGGTGTGCACCTAGCCTAAAGAGGAACGTTACCCATATCTTCAAAATAACAACAAAGGCACCTTTAGAAACGTCTAGTAATGGCAATCTACAAACACATACCTATAGATAATGGCAGGCTTTTTATTTTTTTTGCATACCTGTGATGGACTATAATCTCAATACAAATTAGCAAGCTAAATTTGAGATTGTAGTCCATCACAGGAAAGAGCTTGGGGCGGTGACTACTTTACAACATACACAGGGACCATGGGGAAAAAAGGTAGCCACCCTCCAGAAGGAAGGACAGTGTCAGCACAAATGCAGAGATTATTTGAAAATCAACAGCTGAGTGATACACAAATAAGATACATTTTTGTTAATAGTTAAGGTACTTGAATGTATTTTTAAGATTAACTCCTGAGCTTAGTGTCACTTTAACTAATGAAGCTTTTTCACCTTAGCTGTTATGTCCAGCCCTCTTCTCCAGACTCTGCCATCTGACGTGTGGTGCTATGCTTTTACACATATTAAGGTAAAGCAGTGACATTGTAAACAATTTTACTAAGGTACCTGTAAAGCAGTAGTCTTGTTTCCCTTTTTGATAAAAATCACCTTTAAATAAGGCAGAGCACAGCAACAGGCAATGTGTAGTAAATCCATGTCAACAAGAATTCAATTTAATGTATTCAGGACGTAAGGATGAATTGCAAATGAGTTACTGTACTTTGCCTTTCCAAGCTAGTCTGCTATTTCATATAATTACATAAAACAAATTGCATAAATCCAAGACTAGCACTACCTACTTATCTCTCAGCTTTCCCAATTTTGCCAGATTAACAGTTAATAAAAAAGAGCAAAAACCATTCCACATATTGATGAGAAGTTTTCAGGATGGAGCTTAGACATGTTTTGAAATAATGGAATGTATGGCACAGTGTTAGTAAGGGCTTGTTCACACCAAATGCAGACTAGATCTGCGTGAGTTATTGTACATGCAGTGCAGTGTGTTTTGCCACGTTTTGGGCCGTTTTTGTAAAAAAAATATATATATATTTTTTTTTCTTAAAGCCTAAAATGGGGACCTAAAATAGGGCATGCTGCAGTTTTTTTTTCTACATGCTCTGCAACTGCACGCTCTGGTGTGAACTAGAGCCCAAAATACCATTGGAATACATTGGACGCAGTTTTGATCTGTTCTGTAACTGCTCTGCATCTGCTCCGCACTTGGTGTGAACTAGCCCTAAATCAGAAAAAAGTAAAAATAAACTGTTACTTAAGAGTATTCTTTATACTGTGTTTCCCCGAAAGTAAGACCTACCCCGAAAATAAGACCTAGCACTATCTTCAGGGATTTCTGTAATATAAGACCTACCCCGAAAAAAAGACCTAGTTCGGTGGTAGGTCTTATATTACAGAGATCCGCTAGGTCTTACTTTCGGGGGTAGATGCACATAAACTGTGTAAAGACCGGCCGCAGCTCCCGCCCCGCCCACACGCCAGCCTGCTGCAGCTCCAGCCCCGCCCACACGCCAGCCGCAGCTCCCGCCCACACAGTGGTTACAGATAACTACCGTATGGATTGCCCTATATTCTTTTCAGCATCATCTGGTGTGTTTAACCGGTGGTAAACACATGCTATGTTGGCTGATGTATAAATCTTCCACCCAGAGTAAATGCTGTTTGCATGGCATTACCGCCACTAGAGGGGCATAGGAGATACCTACCTCACCACTGTATCCACTCTATGTTTTTTACCTAGACATTGCTGTAGTGCACCGATTTCTTTTGTCAGTGTGTGGAGGCGCATTCTTAGTCCCACAGCTACGTCATAAAGGGGGAATGCCCCAGCCACAACTGCCCCCACAAATTGGATCTGGAGGACGGGGTGCCTTTCAGAGTTTTAAACAGGCTTAGGCGAACAGAATTCGTGTCAAGCTCAGACAGATCTCTACTTGTGATGGATGAGAGATATTCCCAAACACACACTGCAGACTCCTTGCACTTTTTAAAGGTTTAAGATCTAAGACTGTCTTTCTGGCTTCACTATTTAGTAAGTCACCAACCTGGAAGCATACAGCCAGCTATGTCAGAAAGGTCTAAACTCTCACCTTACATTCTTATTCCATATCAGTCACATACTAGGTAGTAAAACTAGGAGCAAGATGAGTCTTAAGGTCCAATTTACACTATCCAGTGTGTTCAGGGCACGATTCCGTGTCCCGAACACACTGCATTACCTAAACAAAGGCTCCCCTTTGTTTCATATCAATAAAACCGCAGACGCGCCTCCTGCCTGCACTGTGATCACCCGCACTGGCAAACGTGGTACAGCAATGCCCTGCGTTAGTGTAGTGTGATCGCAAAAAATAGTGCATGCATTATTTTTTGTGATCGCACTGCACTAGAAAGCAGGGCATTGCTGTAGCACGTGTTCCGCTGCGTGCAATTGCACTGTAGGTGGCATGTCTGTGGTGCCCTTGAATGACACCGCCACGCTCCCTCCAGCCCCAGAACGCCGGTAGCCTTTGTTTATGCGATCCAATGCGTTCATGGCACGGAACCGTGCCCTCAACACATGGGATAGTGTGAACAGGCCTTTAAAAACAACTCAGCAGTGGCTGCTCTAATATTTCAATATATCCACATCATAGCGTTGTTCTAAACGCACAGGACCCGCACGCTGGTGTGTTGTGTTGACAGTAATTCTCAATGGCACCCCAACTAACTTTCTGGCAGGCATGCTCTGCAGTACCACACAACACACAGTTCCGCAAGAACATGCATTGTGTTGCCATGTAGTGCAAAAAAGTAATGCATGCACTACTTTCTTCTTTATTGGATGGCAAGCATCCCACGTTTTTTGCCCTACCTCGAGGCTCTGCAGTGCACATGCCCACTAGGAGATGTGTCAGGGTGCCACAGCCAATCAAGGGAAACGCAACGCACCAGCGCACCTAGCAAGCTGTATCATGCAAAAGTGTGCACTAGATGCCATGATTATGCATGATGCTATAGTGTGAATAGGCTGTAAGGTACCTGCAAAATATACATAAATGGCATGCTATGTAGCTGGAGTGAGTGTGTTTAGGATGTGAAGAGCTGCTCTCTAAACGGGTTTCTTCTTGTTCTTCCACCATCATTCAGGATCAACAGCATATCAGCGTTCATTTACT